TAATAGCTTTTTTGTTACTACTAGTAAGGCACCTGTTACTACTAGCGAGGCGCTTTGCTTCTCTTTCAGATCTTCGGGCACAAGTTCAGCACCTGTTGGAGATCAGTGCTGCTACTTTCCTTTGACGAGACTCCAATGGAGTTTCCTGGCATATTATGTCAGCAACCGAGCTCTCGTATCCATAACAAGGCCAACAGTAACAAGGCTTGCCTGATTGTACTCCAAGGCCACAGCAATGAGGAAAACCACCTGGTGGCCACTGGACATCAACTTGGATCAACCGACCCTAGTATGCCCAGTCCGAGCCAAAGTTTGAGAAAAGAAAGCTAGTAGTAACAAGTGCATCGCTAGTAGTAACAAGAAGCTAGTAGAATTAAAATTAGTAGCTTCTTGTTACTAGTAGTAAGGCACTTGTTACTAGTAGCGATGCACTTGTTCCTAGTAGCACAATTGGTCTTTTGACACAAAGAACACGGCGAGTGAAAAGATTCTCGGGAAGACGAATTGCCCGATAATTCCCCGCCAAAAGGTTTGCACTGTGAACAAGAACACTTTCTCGGCTATCCCTTCCCTTCTTCCTTTCTTTCCTTTCTTTCCTTTATTTCCTTTCTTTCCTTTCTTTCCCTTCTTCCCTTCCTTCCTTCCTTCCTTCCTTCCTTCGACTTTTAGACAGCTTTGACTGTTTTATATATATATATATTTACAGAGAGAGAGAGACCTTTCTTTGTCCCTTCAAGGGAAGGAGCTCAACTACCCCTCACTACTTGAAACAAGAACACGTTGCTCTTGATAGAATTCCGCCAAGTATCAGCGTCACCAAGCCATGCCAAGCGAGTATAGTCATAAGGTTCCTCTGCCCCAGTGGCTGTGGTCACCACCTCCAAAACCCACTCCACCTCGACCTGAAAGCAGCATCTTGCTGAAGAGCAAAGCGGTAGTTCAAAGCGTTGGAGCCACAAGAGCGATGGCCTCCAACCTAAGAGGGATGGTCTCCAACCTACTAGCGTTAGAGCCACAAGAAGTTTTGTTGAGAATGCATACTTGCAAACATTCAGTTGGAGCGGCCTTCGAGAGGAGCTTGGGAGAGCTCTCCTGTCGCAGCACGAGACACAACTCTCTGCTTTTGTGCTGTAAGATTTGGGTATAGAAAAGGAAAAACAAAACGAAGTCTAAAGTTAAAGGTCTAAAGAAACAGTTAAAAAAAGAAGAGAAATGTCGGGATTCATCTGGAAACCCAACCCACATGCTTGCTTCCTCAATCGCAAAGCTTTAGCATCCCAGAAACATGTTTCTCCTGCGTATGGCACAAAGGCATCTCATGGAGGAGGCGCTCAAGCAATCTTTGCTCGGCTTTCAGGGCATGACGCCGGCCTCAAGGAGGTCTTCCAGCAGAATCTCCTACGTTCTCCATCTGGCTTTCCCCACTTACAGCGTTCTGGCACGGATCTCAAAGCCAAGTCGCCATCATAGGTCTCCTTTTGAAACAGAGGCTCTGTGAATTCCAAACCTTTGAAAGCAAGTGTCAGGTCAAAGGGCGCTTCTTCTGGAAACAGGAAACAAAGAGTTGGAGGCCATTCCTCTTAGGTTGGAGGCCATCGCTATTAGGTTGGAGGCATTGGTTCTAGGTTGGAGGCCATGGGGCTAATTAAAACAAAAAACCAGAGGAACACATAGAGTGTCTCTCCAAGGGGCGTCCATACTCATCGGAGTTGCTGGAGACAACCAAACAGCGAAGGTCGGAGATGGTCTCCAAGCGGTTTAATCTCCTCAACTCAAAAAACTGGTGAAAACAACCTTCAAAGTCTTAAAAGAGACGTAGTAAGAATGCTCCTAGTACGGCCAGGAGCCCCTAGTAGCGTCCTTGCTCCTAGTAGCGTTCTTGCCAAACATAATCTGCCAGAGTTGTGGGACTTGATTTATCAAATGCTTCAGCCTGCTTCGTTTGTTTGCTTCGTCTGTTGGCATTTTCGAGGTGCTTGATCAGCAAGGGCAACAGTGTCAATGTCGATAGCAAGGTTTGATGCTCCGACAGCGGATGAGGTCGTAGAAACCTCGCAACTCTGGTCAAGAGGCCGCATGACCGCATGGTTTGTCGATTGGACCCTGAGCCTCACATGTTCGTGGAGCATATGGCTGTGGAGCAGGTCGCGGCAGGAAATCCGGAAGAGAAGCAAGGTTGGAGGCCATTACTAGTAGCAAGAAGCTACTATATAAGTTGGAGGCCATCTGCTTCAGGATGTGCACGAGGATGAGGAGGGTCCAAAGCTTCTCAATCCGCTCCGAAGGTGCTGAGGCATTTAATCGCACGCACATGTCAGCACTGCTTAGCCGAGAGGAACTGTTTTTGCTCTGGAAGCCTATGCTTTGTCAACGTTTTGGATAAGAACTGAACTGAAAGCCTACAAGAAAACTAAACCGTCTAAACCTAGCCTGCCTAGGCTTGGTTGAACATGTTTGCTGAATGGATGCAAGAACATGTGGATTACACCGATTACACCGACCCATGCCGACAGGCCGACAGTAGACGCATCATTTTGCTCAGAAAGACTCGTTTTAGTGCCACGCTAGTAGTAACAAGTGCCACGCTAGTAGTAACAAGTGCCACACTACTAGGAACAAGTGCCTTACTAGTAGTAACAAGAAGCTACTAGTAACAAGTGCATCGCTTCTAGTAACAAGTGCCTTACTAGTAGTAACAAGAAGCTATTAGTAACAAGTGCATCGCTTCTAGTAACAAGTGC